TCTTTACTAGTTTGATTAATTTTTGTGTATATACTTTAAACCCTAGGTTTCTCTGCTTATTGCACTGATTACTTTAATTTTTTCCCGTTATTGTTTATCTCTGTCAATCAAAATAGATTGACTAATTTTATTTAGGTTCAAATTATATTTTTTCCTGTTAAAATCAGTACTTCCCTGTGATTATTTACCTATTTTCCTTATTTGTGACACCTAATGGATTACTTGACATAATTAGTTCATTCGCCTTATTTCTAGGTTTTGATTTACTCTGACTGACCTATGATTTATTTCCCGCCTTATTTGAATCCAATCTGAGTTGTTAATTGATTCTCCACAATTTAGGGGGTGTTTTCCGGATTCTGTGGAATTATTTGATCAAGTTTATCCCCAAATTAACTGGCTGATTGTATTTGCTTGCCTTATTTGTGAACTCTAATTTTTTTTTTATCTTAATTGTTTTCTCTGTTGAATGCTATATAGACTCCATTCTGATTTATTTCAAAGATGAACACACTCAGAAACACACACACACATACAAACTCTTGCTCTCATTCAAGCCTTTCTGTTACTTGTGTTTGCTACATTGTCTAGCCCATTGAAAGCCACGACTATACTATTGGATTCTGCATACTTTCAACTTCTTGTTTGCTATTTCCCAACTGGTATGTCTCCACTTCTGCTATCATTCAACATGCTATGTAACTAGACATATGTGCTTCATGCTTGTTGATCTTAATCAGCATGTCTACTTCTATGTAATGTGGCCTATGTGTTTCCTGTTTTCTGCCTTTAAACAACATGTCTATCTCTATTATCATGTCCTACACAATGTGCTATGTAGTCAATCTACTGTAGATATTAAAATGCCTTTGTTGTTCCTTATTCTGTTAATTAGCAAGCTTAAACGCCTATGAATCTATCATGACCAATAAGTTAGTATGGTTACTCCACTCTAGCATGTTCCTGATGATCTAGGACATTTTTCTACTTGTTTCTCAACTAGAGCACATTCTGTCCTATTTTAAGTGTCTCACCTTATCAAACTCCTAATTAATTCACGATTCCTATGCTCAACGTTTGCTGCCTTTCTGTATGATTGTCTATCAGTAACTTGATCCCATCATGCTGTTCTCTGATTAATATATGCCTATATGTTCTCCTAGTAATAACTAATGGATTAAGGCCATGTGAAACCTTGTTCAAATTAATTATCACTCTATTCTATCTATTGTTTGATTGTTGGAGCTCATGGCTGAACTCCTTCTGCTAAATGTGTGCTGCTTGTGGTTCTTGTAATCTGGTAATCTATTTCTATTCACTTCTAAAAGTCCAAATTGTTTTCTTTCCTAAAACTAATTCCTACTTTTATACTATTTTCAACTCATACTCTTAGTTAACTAGGTCCTGCCACCCCAAGTGTGAGCACTACTCAGGGTCCATGTGAGACCCTTGTAAACTTTGACAAAGTGGGGTTCGGTCCCTAATCCCTTTTCAACAGCTTCTGAACATTCGTTCTCTAGTGTGAGCACTGCCTTGGGTTCTCGAAGCCCTTGGGAACTCTGATACACTAGAGATTTGGGTTCTTTGTGCTTTGCTAATAGTTACTGTGTATCTTTGAGCTTTGGAGTTGTTATGGTTTGAGGGCCTGGGTTATCCGGATGCATTGGGCCTTCTGCATGCCTCCTATAGTTATATACTTTATAATTTATTCATTTGCTTATGGTCTGTAATAATTATTTGTAATAATGATGGGGCAATAGTGAATTGGAGAAAACTGGGCCTAGTTTAATGTTTGCATGAGAATGGGGTAGAAAACCTGCTTTAGGTGCCTGTTTCTTTCAAATATTTTCACTACTATATGTTAGATATCCTGCCTTTGGGTTATTTACTTATTCAGTTATATTCTGTTACTGTATGCAATAGATAACATGCCTATAGGTATTTGTTTTAATACATTCTGTTACTATGTGCGGTAGATAACATGCCTATAAGATCATAGTTATGAATATCCCGTCAAGATTCACTACTGCATTTAAATCATGCCCATAAAGTTTCAAAATTAGTTCTGCATTTTTAAAAATCACACCTATAAAGTATTAAATTACTTCTGCGTTCAGATACTACATCTATAGGAAATTTCAAAAGATAGATACCATGTCTATAGGAAATTTCAGAATCATTTTTGCATTTAGATACCATGTCAATAGGAAACTTCAGAATCATTTCTGCATTTAAATACCATACCTATAAGGTTTTAAGAGTAGTTCTTCTACACTTAGATATCATGCTCACAGAGATAAACATGTAAAAATTAGTTTTGTAATGTTTGTGATCATTTTCAGCACGTAGACAACATGCCTATAGGGTCTAAATGGATAAAATCTGCCTGTTTAAATTAGTCATTGGTTTATAATACGTTTAGATATCATACCTATAAGATCCTGCTGTTTATCGCCTAGGAAAGCCTATAGGATAATTAAAACCCTGAAGTTGCCAAAAACTGTGTTTGTTTGACTGCTTACAAACCTCCTAGATTCAGGAAGTAATAAAATCAGTAGGCAAACTGATTAGGTATTTACTGCCCCGCCATAATAAAATTGATGCATATTTTGTGCTCATCTAGATATCCTGCTATAGGACTTTAAATCATTCAAAATTGTTTGTTTGAGGCGTGCAATTGTTTGCTTACTTGTGGAGGCAAATGTGAGTCCCTTTAACTACTCCTTATGTGATAGTCCTACCTGTTTTGTTTGATGCCTAGTTTTCTCCTTTTAAACACCATAGGTGAGTCTAGAACTACCTTAAATAGATATCCTAAACACCTCCAGGGCTACAGGTACGGGACGGGTAATGCACGCATAAGGCACGTACTGGATGCTATTAGAACGCTTAGGTAACAATAATTAAGGGGAGGGTAATCGAGTAGTAAATGATATGATGACCTGTGCGCTAATGCTATGCGTAACACCACTATTTAAGGAAAGTTTATCGAGTATTGCATAAAAGTTAGGCTAAAAAACCTAGGACCCGTTTACTCCCTATTTTTTAAAGCAATGTTTGTTTTCTTATATACTTATAAGACTAATTCGCTTAAATTGAGTTTGGCCGGGACCCACCGTTGTGGACCTCGAGGGATGCCTAACACCTTTTCCTCAAGGTAATTTTAAGCCCTTACCCAATCTCTGATAACGTAAGCTTGTACAAGAGTTATTTGTTTTAGGTTCCCTAACGCACCTTAATCCGTTAGGTGGCGAGCCTTCAAATCTCATACCCAATTCCCAAAAGGAAAGGAGTTGTCCCAAAATGTCGAAACCCAGACTCCGCGAGGAAAAAGGGGGCTCGATAGCATGGCGACTCCACTGAGGATATTTTAGGCTCTTACCATAACAAACTTGTTTTTATGAATTACTCTTAAGCATGTTTTATCCTGTTAATATATGTGCGCTATTTCCCTTTCCCCCTTATTTGGATTTAATTACCTATTTCTCAAGCATTCATGATTTCCTTTATTACAGAAACTGACTCATCTCTTTGTTTTCTTTCTTAAACGTCTTTCAATTATTAAATACCGCATTTATCATTTTCAACGTGCAAATACGTGACAACATGCTATTTATTGTTGCATAAATCATGCTCAACATCATATTCCACTCGTGCGTAATCAATCCTATATCAACGTTTGATGAGTGCTTGCGCTCTTCCTACATATCACCCTTTAAATCCGAAAAGGCATATTTACGTTAAAACTAGTCGATCAGCGGTGTAGTCGACGGTTCCGTGCCTTTCCCCCTCAAGTTGTCCACTTGAAGGTATCAATCTAGACCTCTATAGAAACCTTACTCTAATTAATTGTACATGCATCATGGTCAAACCTAGCCGGGTTAATATGTTGTCCACATAATAACCCTTTAAGACAAGCCTTGTCCAAAAGTCCATCGGGTTTTTCATAATCCCAACAGACGCAACCACGATTGTGTGCATTAATTTTGGAGAAATAAGTGCCAATATGCTAATCATTGTTGTATAAATAGTCAGATCTGGAGGGGGAAATAGCCTAACCATATTTGTTTTGCAGAAAATGAGGCACGAGGTCCCCACGTTCGGCATGGTTCGTAACATACCACCATTATTGCTAGATTGGTGGGAGATCTTCTGCCAAGTGATAAGAATCACGTGAAAATGATCTTGGGAAATTTGCCTTCTTTATTGAACCTTCAGCCAAACAACATGTTCATCGAAGTTGCTATAATGTTCTGGGACAAAGAAAGAGTCGTGTTACACTTTGGTGGCATAGAAATGGCCCCCCTCTTGGAAGAAATAGGGAGATTCGCTGGGCTACCTTGGGATAGTCCTGGTTTATTAGTACCGGAAAATCGCTCTAATAGGGGGTTTCTGAAGATGATGAGATTAAAGAAGAATAATGACTTAGAGTGCCTGAAAAATTCCTACATACCATTCGACTTCCTCTATGAACGATACGGTCACAACAAATCTTATTTTATCTTCAATGACGAATTCTTCATCACTTTCTTGGGTTGGATCCACCGCAGGGTTTTTGTGTTCATTGTCTGTTTCTTGGGTATGTTACTATTCCTGATCCAAGGAGATAGAATCCATACAAGATTGGCCATGGTAGCCAAAACCTTGATGGAGGGGATCGAAGGGCAGACATATACTATTGTCCCTATGATCATAACAGACATATACCGGGCCTCGGAGCGCTGTTAGAAGGGGTACAAGTACTTTGAAGGTTGCAATCTGCTGCTGCAAGTTTGGCTGTTAGAACTGTCGTGCCCCCTTTTTTTTTACTAGAACCCTATAAGTTATTACAACATATTATAGACCAAAATGAATCAGAAAAAGTAAAAACATTACATCAGAAATTCAAGCTACAACCAAACACCCTAATTCAGACTCAAGGGCTAACAATATGAGATAAACCAACTTTCAAGATTAGATTTCCAAAAGCCTTTCTCTTATTTGGGATGTGTCAAAGTTACCAAGAGCCTCAAGGGGGCTCCGGGCAGTGCTTACACCCTAAATACATTGCAAAATTAGATTATATTGCAGTGTAGAAGGGCCAACCCTCAAATTTTCAAGTTCAGAGGGAACTCAAGGTCCCAAAGCAAGGCTCATAGGAGGGGGCAGAACTTAAAGTCTAAGAGAGAGTGTAAGTGTATACAGGGGGATTAGGGAAAGCCATGGTAGGCTGGTGGTCATTCCCAGTAATTGGGAATGCTGGCACACCCCTGACCAGCCTGTTATCCAAATTTGGGGAGTCATGATCCATTGAGGATCAGGTTCAGACCTGAGCAGCAATTTGGATGTTGTCAGGCCATGAACCCTAACTCAAACACGTAGAAGGGAGTAAGGGTATGGGGAAGTTCATAACAAATAACAGATGCAAAGAGAGGGTGACATATTTAATACATAATACAAACAACAAAGTAGACAAGATGGTAGTAACTATAAAGTAAAAACATAGGGATTAGGTTGAAATCTAATTCAGGACATACCAGTTTCAACAAATAAGAAGAGTAAAAGCAGAAGTCTTGTAAACCAAATTGCAAGCAAACAGTCCAAGAACTCTCATAAAAGAGTAGAGTATTGAAATTGCAAGTGGGTAATGTGTGCTCGAGTATTGAACTTAAAGAAATATTGAGTTATAAGTGTGTGAGTAATGTCAGTTGAAGGTGTGTAAGTGCAGAAGGGTTGTACCCCTTTTATAGTGCAGAAAATAAGTAAAAAAGTAAGGGAATAGTTTGCAATCAATCACATAAAATCTCCCTTCGGTTAAGAGATTCTGATTTCAAACGGGTAGAAGACAAATAAGGAAAGAAATTTGATCAAAAACTTTTCAAAGTAGCACAAGAAAGGGTAAATACACAGGAGTTATATAAAGGAAAAAGTTTAGTGGTACATGGTTTGTAAAATATAAGGAAACAGAATCAATCAAACAGTTAGTGAAATCAAAATTACAGGCTTTGTTTGAATGAACCAAGTCAGGAAAAGGTAAAGAGGGTTCAATTAAAGAAAATCAATAGTAATCAGTCAGGCCTTATCAATTAGTTGTCAAAACCCTTTTTAAGGAAGAATTTGTCATATATAAAGCACACAACTATCAAACAAAAGGAGTTGTCATGCTAATTAGAAAAACAAGCATATAAAGGTCCAGAGCCATAAGCAAAGAATTACAGATTTAGTTCATAGTACTTAGGATGAGTCTGATAGTCCGGGGTTCCAAATTAGAACCCTAATCAAACTTGCCAAAGAAACCCCCAAATCCTAGGGTTTCAAATTGGATCAGACATACAGATGAGAAGGCAAGTCATTGAAATAGGCCCAAAGGTCTGTTTCAGAGCCTCATGAGAAGTAGAACAGATATGATAGTAGGTTTGAAACAACAAGGAAAGAAAACTGATTTAAAGCATGAAGAACATGTTTAAGAAAATCCTAGAACTTAAGCAAGTTCAGAAGAGAAGGAGTGATACAAACTTAAGAAGCAATAGACGAAACATGCTTAGCAAAACTCGGACAGAATCCCGTAAAGCAAACAAAGTTGAAGAACTTATCAGGAAACACATACAATAGAAATCATCTAGGAAAACATAGTAGGGATAATCATGCGAGACTAGTCTGGAGGCATAGTAAAAATACAAATGTATAGAAGAATCATGTAAAAAGAAAAAAAAACAGAAGAACAAACACATGTGTGGTAGAAAAGAGAACATACGAGCATAACACATACAAACACACATAAAGAAAAGAACAGAAAGAATCAGAAAGATATTTTGAAGAAACCTTTTAGAAACCCTAAATCGAAGAAAAAAATGATTTTGAAAGGAAAATTTGGGGAAAAACTTTAAAAGGTTCTGTAGAACATAGACATATAATATATCTAAGAAAACAAACAAGTAAAAAACCTCTAACAACTTAGGGTTTCGGAGAAAACCCTAGAAATGAGAAAAGGCCTTGAGGAAAGTCAGATCCTGAGTCGAAAAGGCTCATAATGCTTGAATATGCCGGAGTAAAGGCCGGAGAGGCCATGGAACCAAAGACCTGAGAAGTTCTGAAGAGATCAATCGATGTCGGACCTCAAATCATCGAACCACCAAGGTCTAATGGTGCAGAAGGGTGAGTATAGACCATTCATGGCCTGAGAGGCCATGGATTCCGGTGAAAGTACGGTGAAGGAATGTAGGAGGAGGCTAGGGTTTCGAAAAACCTTGATAGAGTTTTGGGAGATGAAGGGGTTCAAAGGGCGACTGGTTAGGTGAAAATTAGGGGGATTAGGGTGTAGTGGAGGGGTTAAAAAAGGTAAGGGGGATTTACGGCCATTGATCAAAATGATCAACAGCCTGGATCAAAGATAGGAATTGGGCGGATTTTAAATTGGATCGGGGGACCGGGTTGAAATGAAATTGGGCTGGTCCAAATAGGGTTAGGATTGGGTCAAATAAAGGTTAAAATTGAAATGCAAAAGGGGCTGTAATTAAAATAAAGGGAGGTTAAATGTTAAATAGCTAATTTTTCCCTTTTATTTTATAAAAATAGTAAAATGATTTTAAAGTAAATTAAAAGTACTGAACTAATTAATAATATATAAATATTAATTTAAAAATACTGGGCCCAATTTTATAATTGTAAAATGCTATTTATCTTAAAATAGGCTAAAATTGCAATTATATGCAATTTAGCTTTAAAAATGCAAATAAATTTGTAAAAATATACAAAATTACTTTAACTATATTTTCGTATAAACATATGAATAAAATAAATTATTCACCAAAATCGATAGTTTTGTGAATAATTACTGATTTTTGTACTGCTAAAACGGACAATAAATTGATTTTGAAAATCTTTAAAAATTAGGAAAAATACCAAAACACTTGGGCATGATTATATATGCATATACATATTATTTTGTAAGTATTTTGTATATGAAGAATACATAGGAAAAAATTGGGTATCAACAATTGCCCCTCTTTACCTGGGAAGGATGAAAGAGTTGTCGGGTAAAGATATGATGACTAATTTGATCGAACGAAATGATTTGAAGAATTTTGACCGAGATCTAGTTCCTGATCTGTCTACATATCCCTGGTCCTATAGGAATCACGCCATATGTAGTTCAGGATCCATCGGTAGAATATGCCGATGGAGATTTTCGAGAAACGGGCGCGGTATTCGGGTTGGGAGGGATGGTCAAAGTTAGTGAACCGCGGGAACTGGAGCAGGATTGCTCCTGCTGAGCCGGCTGTTGCTAGTCAGTGTACCTGCAAATGAACAATGCGAACGTATATTGTGCATAAATTTAAACATGATGCAAGTTCCCATTGGACCATGAATGCTGTCTTTGGATGGTTAAGATGACGTCCTCAGACTATGACGTCCTGGGCCATGAAGCGTATAAAGGATTTTCAGGCTATGAAATAATGCCTCCGAACTATGATGCCCTTGAATAATGATATGCAAAGATAAAAGTGGGGTCCTCAGGCCATGGCATGGCGTTCTCGGGCTATGAAAATGGTGCCTCCGAACAATGACGCCTTCAGACAGGTTGGCGATCTTTCAGCCCATAAAAATACAAAAGGTGGTGATCTTTCAGCCGGTGCAGAATTTAAATAAAGGCGTCGATCTTTCAGCCAATGCAAGATATAAATAAAGAGTAGCGATATTTCAGCCAATGTAAGGAGAATAAGGAGTGGCGATATTTCAGTCAATGCAAGGAAAATAAGTGGCGATGCAAGATGTAAATGAAGGTGGCGTTCTTTTAGCCTATGCAAAACGTAAAAATAAAGGGTGGCGATATTTCAGCCATGCAAGATAGAGGTAAAGCTTAACCTCGGAAGGAAGAATAGTAGCCTTATGCAATGTAGAGAAATGCTGATGGAGATAGAGCTTAGTCTCGGAAGGCAGAATAGTAGCCTTATGCAATGCAGAAAATGCAGGATGGAGGTAGAGCTTAACCTCGGAAGGCAGAAAGGTAGCCTTATGCAATGCAGAGAAATGCAGATGGAGGTAGAGCTTAACCTCGGAAGGCAGAAAGGTAGCCTTACGCAATGCAGAAAATGCAGATGGAGGTAGAGCTTAACCTCGGAAGGCAGAATGGTGGAGGTAGAGCTTAACCTCGGAAGGCAGAAAGGTAGCCTTATGCAATGCAAAAAATGCAGGATGGAGGTAGAGCTTAACCTCAGAAGGCAGAAAAGTAGCCTTATGCAATGCAAAAAAGTAAAAGGTGAGTAGTAGTAAAATCTCTTAGCTGATAGCTTTTATCGCCGATATCTAACGACCCGATCGGTAGATCAGCCATGTTGTTGGTGCACGAGAATCTGAGGTTCACAGACATCGGATAATGCTGGCCAATTTCTAATATTAGGACTGCTCCTATGCCAACTCCTTTGAAGTTCACTACTCTATCGAAAAACATTCTCTAGCCATCTTAGGATTCTGCAATGTCTTCTCCTATGAAGGATACCTCCTCGTCAGGAAAATACATTTCTAGGGGTTTGTATTTTCCGTCCACGGGATTTTCAGCAAGATGATCCGCCAATGCCTGTACCTTGATTGCTTTTTGGGTCACATAAACAATGTCAAATTCACTTAACAGGATTTTCCACTTGGCCAGCTTGCCAGTGGGCATGGGCTTTTGAAAGAAGTACTTCAGGGGATCCATTCTTGATATGAGATATGTAGTATAGGCGCAGAAATAGTGCCTCAGCTTCTGAGCTACCCAAGTCAGAGCACAACAAGTGCGTTCCAACAGAGAATACCGGGCCTCGTACGGGGTGAACTTCTTGCTGAGATAATAGATGGCCTGCTCCTTCCTCCTTGTTTCATCATGTTTCCCCAGAACGCAACTGAATGCTCCATCCAATACTGCAAGGTAGAGTAATGGAGGTCTACCCGGCTCGGGCGGGACCAAAACTGTTGGTGTTGACAAGTACTCCTTGATTCTGTCGAAGGCTTTCTGACAGTCATCGGTCCATTTGGTGGCAGCGTCCTTCTTCAACATCTTAAAGATTGGCTCACAAATGATAGTGGACTGAGATATGAACCGACTAATGTAGTTAAGTCTCCCCAAGAAACTCATAGCCTCTTTCTTGTTATTTGGTGGTGGCAATTCTTGAATGGCTTTGACCTTTGACGGATCTAGTTCTATTCCTCGGTGACTTACAATGAACCCAAGTAGTTTTCCGGCAGGAACCCCGAATGCACATTTGGCGGGATTCAGCTTAAAGTTGTACCTTGTCAGTCTGTTAAAGAATTTCCTCAAATCTTCCATGTGGT